CTTTAAGATTGTTAGAGGATAATTAGGATTGCTGATCCATGATTGGCTCAAGATGCGTTTCTGTATAATTTCAATTAATATCAATGAAAGGCAACATTATTACAGGATAATGGTTTTTGGGCTGCCAAGATGTTTTCACAGCAGGAGACAGTGACCCTGTAACAGTGCTTTTTAAATTACTTTATTTTGCCCTCATAAGATAGTCAAGGCAGATATAATTAATTTTTCTAATGAGCATTTGTCCCAGATAGTCTTATGTTATGCTGCATTCAGCTTGGCTTAGGGAACTCACCTAGGGCCCTCTAGTCCAAACACTTATACCCCCAAGGTCGGTAGGTGAATTTCTACAGAGATAGCAGGATTTGTAGTGTCAAAGTCTTATTCCTTTAAACTGTGTCATTGACTTTAACGGAAGTGACACATTGAAAGCCCTGGGTACATAAGGTGCAAAGGGAAAACTGAGATGCATCTTATTATACAGCAAACAAGCAAGACTAATTGGCTGCCTAGCCTCAGATATAAGAAACTTGGGTTCTAGTTTGGCTCAGCATGAGCTGGGAAGAAAATAAAATCTGAGTCAGAAAGAGTGGGGTTGTGAACACACACACACACACACAAAAACAAAGCTGAAGGTTTGAGCTGAACCCAGCTGTTTCTGACCCAATTTCATTTTTCACTACACCATTAGTAAGGCTTTGTATTTATTCCAAAATGGAATGAAAAGCCAATTTGCAAACCTCAAGGCCGTCATCCTCTGCTCAGCACTACTAAACCCAGAAAGTTGTTGAGAACCTTCAACTTCCAATATGAGTGATGGACGTCCCTCTGCCTCTCTAAGGACTGGGCCTGTGGCTTATACTTAAAAAGGAAATTTTGCACAAGAACAGCCCCCTAGGGTCTGGTGAAAGCAGGCATACTAGGCTGGACGGCTTATACCTCTGTAGTAGATAGCAAAGTTTGATTCCCACCAGTGGCATCACTCCACTGAAGGACAGCCAGCATTTCAAAGCTGGTAGAAAGTGAAGCATGGCTGTCTATAAAATCAGCTTCTAATCTAGTGTTAGAAAACACTTGCTGATTTATCTCAGCTGAGGATAAGGCTCACAATTTTCTGTTGAAGATTTATTTCTCTACCTTGCTGTTCATTTTCCCTACCTTCACTGCAGACAGGGATGTGAACTGTCTTAGGTTCAAGCTTTAGTAAACTTTTCTAACCTGTGGGGTTGGGGCCCGTTCAAAATTGGCAGGGAGTGGTGTTCTCTAATCCCCCTCTATTAATCTTCAGTGCTTTGTTGGCCTACGCGTAGTGACAGGTAGCTCTAAATGTGTTTTAGAAACCTCCCCTCCTTAGCATATAAATCTGTGGACTCAATGAAATGTTCTTGTCTGTCCTTCTTTAATCGTTTAAAGGATTGGACCTGATTCAAGTGGGTGCATGGAACTGACCAGCACTACCTCGCTCTGCTAGGTTTTAATGACTATTTCTGACAAAGGTTTTCATGCATTTACATCAGCTGCTGGTCTTTAAGAAGTGTGTATTTTCTTGGGGAGAAGGTGGAGCCCATATATTAGTGCACCTAACTGAACAGAAGATTACAAGGCGTTTATTAAATATGAACAGGATTGTTCTGTGATGTGTTTGTTTGCTACTTTCTGGCTCAGTCTGCGTCAGAGCAACAGCTTGACATTAACACTAGCTTTAAAAAATGCAAAGCAAGGGTGAAACAATTTCCAGAGCCCTGTTTAGAATTGTAAAGCATGAGCTAGCAATGGCTGTATAAAACCTTATTAAGACTGATGCTATGCACAAGTCAACAAGACTGAATCACCGAGGAGCTTGCAAACTGAGTTCCTTGGTTAGACAGGCAGGGAATGGATGCTAAGCAGAGCCTACATATTTAACAGGAGATTTGAGTTTGCCAAGCACAAAGGTTAGCTTCTTTCAACAAGTCACCAGCTACTCCACCTTCCTAATTTACTCTACCTTCAGGGATTAGCTCATAGCTACTGCTTGAATGATCTGGAAAATCATATAACATTATTGGGAGTCACCAGTTAGTATTTATTAGGGAAATTTTACAAGTTAGTTTGAATTGAATGTGGAGCAGCAAAGGACAGATCCACAGACAGACTTTAGTCTGCAAAATTGAACTTAGGTGTGGAAAGCCAAGAGTGTGCTCCATACAAATCCTAACTGCTTAGGTGCTTGAGAGTATAAGGGTACCAAAATGTATACGGGTACCAAAAATAATACATTTCTTTTTAAACCTCGGATTAGGATCTGGCTCTATAGCCTTGCATCACTTTGCACCAGTTTCAAACCACTGGATCTCTTACTTCACTGGTGTGATTCCAGGGTTATACAGGTGTAAGTGGAATGGAGATCAGAGTCTGCTCTTGGTGATGTGTAAAAACCATCCGGTCTAACTGAACCATGTATTTGATTTCAGGACCAAGCAGCGTTCTGAGTCGCACCAGGCTTGTTCCGCACATACTATGGCCTGAAAGGGAAGGCGTGCAGCTGCCTTCATGCAGCGGTCTGCTGAGAGGCATGTAACAGCCAGCACCACACTGAGGCAGCTACATGATCTCCAGTTCAGAAGATTGCACCTGCCGAGCAAATGTAGCATGTCTTGGTATGGTGTTGCCTGGCGCTGTGACTGGGAACTTACATGGCCTAAAGTTGTACAGCTGTGCATGCCCAGGGTGATGCTATCTTGGCTGAGCCAAGCTTTTCTGTGCTTTTCACATGCTGGGGACATTTGAAGTTTACAAACAAACTAAGTATCCTTTCACTTACAGGTCCCCAACAGCACTGCTTTCTGTCAGCATCTAGATCTGGGCCCAAGCTTCTTCCTAGGTGAAATTGTTTCACTCAGAGCAGGGGGAATCGTTATAGTTGGGGAGATTACAAGCATTCAGAAACATGAATGAAGCATTTATTATTGAGCCACTGGTATCTGTTTAAACCAAAAGAAGATCTTACTTGTTTTGTTTATAGACTGTGGACTATAAAAAAATCCCCTTATGGATGTTATGGACTTAAAAAAATAATGAACAAAGACTTCTCTTTATTAATTACTCTCCTGGTATTCTGGTGCCTCTAGCAAATACCTTGATTGGGCTCACTCTGATTTTACTTCTGCCAGTTGATCTATCTGTTTCGAAAAGCATCAAAATGCCCATCATTCCCTTATGATACACGCATAGTCAGTTGAATTGGCACACAGAGATTTCCTATGTAAATATCTGCTGTGGGCCAAGTGCGTTGCAGCTGTCAAATTTTCTTTTGATGCTGATTACTTTCATCAGTGTAATTGATCAAGTTGTCTAGATAAAATGGGAGGCTAATCCTTGAGAAAGTAATCTTCAAATTGCACCCAAAATATTGCTGCTATGCAAAGGCAGCACACAGGTGTGCCATACTTTTCTCTTGTATTGCAATGGCAATTTAAATAAGTGGCTCACTTTCCCACCTCTTCATGTCTCTCTCTCTCTCACTCCATAAATGCTCTGAAATTTGGCCTCTTTTCACTGAAGATAAGGAATTTATGGTACTTACTCTGTAGACTATTTGTCGACATTTGGGGGTTTTTTTCAAATCATAGAACGGACACCATCAGTCCAACCTGGTTTGTAAGCAGATAGGATGCCAAGGACACCTAAAGTTCTGTGCGGGAACCATTCATTTAGCTCCCTTCCTCCCTCCTCCCAGATCGCAGGAGCAGATAAAAGATTTCTTCCAGGAAGTAGCTTTGCTTATTTGTTTTCCTATCTAGAGTGGCATTCTTGCATTGATCAACCACAAGAGTCAAGCCTGTAGTTATTGTTCTAAAAGATGAATAGTAACTGTAATCTGTGAAGATCTGAAACATAAAATCAAATGTATTACCTTCCTCATTGGAAGCGAGGAAGCACATATATATAGATATATAAATATATTTATATCTATTTATCTATCTATATAGAGTCACAGCTGCTGAGACTAATTTAACACTCCCTACTTTGGCAAGACTTCCATTGATTCCAGCCAGAAGATCACCTGGGTACAGTCTGCTAAGATCTGAGCACTGCTGAAGAGACATGCACTAATATTATAATTATAACATGCCTGTGTCTCTGGCCAACTCAATGGTACTAATTGCGCTCTCTCCCACTCTCATTTGGGTTTTATTTGCATTTATTTTTTTCTGCTTCTGTCACAGAGTCCTGGAGACTGCTGTAGTGAAAGAGCCGCAAAAGAGATTTTGCAGTTCAATTTAAAATATGGTCTAATGCCTCCTATTCCTCATTGCCCAACCATTTAGTCCTAAACATCAACATGGCTTCGGGGCAAGTAATCAACCACCCAAGTAATGCTAAAGTTTTTATAAACAAGGATTAGGAGATTTAAAAAGAAGTGTTTTGGCAGCAAAGAATGTCTAAGGAGCATGCAAAATAGGCTTAGTTAATGCTCGGAGTGATTTCACCTAATGTATGATGTTTCCATTGGTGTGCTGCAGCTATACGGGCTAATCTTACAGCCAGTCTGGATGAGGAATTCCTTGCTGAGCCTTGGAGGGTGGAAGAAAGCAGACTGTCCCCTTCATTTTTTTTTCAATCTTTCAACACAGATCCTGCCATTTTCTGTCTGTGCCTCAGTTTTTATCCTTGCTTTACACTTACAGCGTGTAGAGCTGATTCACTGGATTGCTTCAGGTTTTCATGGCCTTAACTTCACTGAAATCAGTGGGTTTACTCTGATGAACCACTTGAGTGGCCCAATGGCAAATTATAGTTGTGCAAGTGAGCAGAAATTCGAGGAACCCCCATTTTGTACTCACTTGTTAGAGGAGCCTGACTTGCAGAATGCAAGTATGCAGTTCCTTTTGTAATCCAGGTCCCTTTTCTGCTTCACTTTTCAAAACTGAGGCCAGCGCTTTGTCAAGCTTGAGCTCTTTATGTCTTGTTTCAGCTCCATCTGGGAGAACCTCATGAAAGAAACTTTTAATTAAAAGAAGGAAAACAACAAAAATATTTATTGCAGTAATTAAAAAGTTAACCAAAATCTTTTATTGATACATTCTTGGATAATATCACAGGATTGAGGGAATGGAAGGGGTGGGAGGAGGTTTGCGGCAAAGATTGTTTTCACTAAATTGGCACATAAGCAGCAAGATTAACGAAATTACTTATTACAAACAGTATAAAACATACATGCTTTTTTTTAAAGTCCTTATCACACTGGTCAATCATGATGGGGCATCAACAAAGAAAAACCTCAAGACATGTAAAAGCCATATTCTTTCTTCCAAATACCATAAGAATTATTGAAATTATTGCAAAATAGTCATATACCTTAACTGAAATAACAAAATAGAACACAAATACAAATATCAAACATAAATGATTAACATATACCATAAAATACATTACTGGCATGCATTCCAAATATCAAGACCTCTATTAAAACTCAGCAAAATCCTTTCTGCTTCCTCTGCAGCCCATCATTGTTATGAAAGGTGGGAAAGGTTGGGGTGGGAATGGGGCTCACTTCGCCAGCACAGTTTTTGGTCTTTAAATATCTTTTTTTGTTTTGTTTGTTTAATTAAAAAAATAACATACATGGATTGCAGTGATACAGTAATAATCATACAAGTCATGTACATAGTTTGTTTCAATCTTCAGAGAGATCTCTTTTAATGTGCTAACGTTTCAGAGAATAGGGCTTCAATGGAACTGTGCATTCAAAACAAACAGTGAACTGTTGAAACAACATGGATGGTAATATGCAAAATTCCTCACAAACTGTACAGAAAGTTCAAAAACTTGCAGTCTGGAAGTACATATAAAGACAGACTTAGCCCCTGTAAAGTCACTGTTGCTAAATGCAGTTCACCCATAAAGAGCTGGGTACTCGTGTATCAGAGCTGGGAATTCAGGTATCATACCTCCCAAACATTGAGAAGGTCCAAGGTCACAGCCTAAGTGGCAGTGCCAGTGACTTATTAAGCCAAGATTAATTAAGGATATTTCACATAGAAGCTGTTCAGAACACTTGGATCCTCTAACATTGGTCTCCATAATAACTGCCTGGCCTTCAACTCCTCCAGCTGTGGATACAGGTCAGGAAGAGGCCTAAGCCAGTTTGGGTGACTGGAAAACCTTCATTCCCCCTTGTCTCCGTCTGATGAAACGGACTAAATAACCAGGTTATTATAACTGACGTACTTCTTTTTTGCAGCAGGGCCTGAAAAAAACACAGGAAGGTAGAAAGAGTCACTAAACTAGTCACCTGAAATGCTCCTTTAAAAGGCTGGTACTATTTCCTAATTAGTTAACACAATGCCAAGAGAAGCTACAGTACATTAAATAACAGGATGAGCAGATGGTGACTCCTTTGCATAGATATCTTTACCAGTCAACTCCTTCCTCCTGGAAGACATCTGTTTATTGGTATTAATATGAGCAGACTACTGATTAGATCAACCTAAGCGGTGTCTCCAGTTCTGACTATAATGTAAACAAAATTACCATTGATTGATTTTTTTCATCGTTTTGCAATCTGTATGTCTTCAGTCTTGAGATGTTATGACTGGATTCAACCAAGTTTTTTTTTCTCTTTCAAACAGTGACACTTTCTCCTACTTCTTAAAGCCTGAGGGGATAAATTTGGTTTGGCTCATGGATGAGTAAAACATATATTTCCAAACCAAGATTAATGACTTCTTGGAATTTTCACTGCTGGTGATTGGCCCTCTTAATTATGATTGCTGAGTTATATCGCAGGTTGCAAAAACACATCCGCAGACAAGTACTTCTTGAATCCTACTTCATGCTTGTGTCAATTAAAATTGTGAACATTTAACATTCAGTTTCCAGGAATGTATTGTGCAATGACAACCATACTCAGGACAATAACATTTCATTTCAAAGAACATTCTTTATATTCAGGCTCCAGTTGCAACAAAAAATTATTTGTCAATTATATGTGAACAGTCTAGAAATAACACATACTTTACATATTATTCTAATGTTATATATTGAATCATTTACAAGTGACTATACGAATGGTTGTTTTATATGGTACATACTATCCTTGCACATAAAAGAGAAGTAGGAACAGTTTTAGGAAACATGTGTCTCTATATAGAAAACATTAAAAAACAACTCCTTTGCAATAATGCATACAGACACCTACCCTAAAAAATAGGTTGAATGTTTTTCTGTATCCTTTGGCATATGAGTTTGGAATTCATTTTTAGTAATTGTTCATCCTACATGTTCTATGGTAATCACGTTCTTTGAGCAACTTGTACATAATACAGGAGAAGGTATATTAAAATAGGCAGGCACTGAGAGTAACACATGCATGCTGAGCCTATCTATCCAATAGGAATTAAATTTGTGGAATTAATTCATTTAGATCAAGACAAGTAAAGACCCAATTTAACATGTAAGTGTTTTACAAATCGCTATTTAAGAATCCTAAATGTCACTTCACCATTTTGTATAATTGTTATGAAACTGTATTTAGCTGCTTCAACATATCCTCTCAAAGGCAAAACGGTCTATTTGTTTGGGATCCCATCCTGCAAAATACTGAGTCTCTCTAACTCCCACTAACTCCTCTGTGAGTGGAGGATGCTCAGAACTTCCAGGTTCTCTCAAGCTCGGTCTGTAAATATTTTATAGATTATTAAGGTCTTTTGAAAGTGGAAAAGTAATAAAATGTATTGGGTTGAAATGGGGTACTCAGGCAACAGATGTCGTGATGCACATCTTTGCTTGGTGCCAAAATGTTTTCAGGATTTCAAAGAGCAGTGGCGAACTATTACATTTAAACTAATAAAAATTACGCAATTTAAATAATCATCAAATCTTGATCTATACATTGCCATCCACTTCCAGTATTTTATTTTTTCCCCAGGCCCCAGTGAAATAATCATTTTCTCTGCTGTTGCAGCTTGGCTTTGATGAGTTCTCTAACTATTCCATTTTTTGTTACATTGGTTGAATTTACCAGTGGAGAAGATGATGATACAGAGAAGATGAGACACACAAACAACACAACCATAGACTATGAGGTAGTCTTTGGCATCTCCTACATTTAAACAGAATCACCTTTTTGGCAGCTGGTAAACATAGTATAATTAATATAGCTAAAATAACAAATTAAGAAATACTATGCATCTCTTGTTTCCAAGGAGGAAAGGAACTTTTCCTTGTTTCATAGACTGAAAAACTAGTTAGGATCATTAGATAATCTACCTACTCTGGAGATCTTCAAAAGGAGACTGGACGCACACCTTGCTGGGGTTATTTGACCCCAGTAGTCTTTCCTGCCCAGAGCAGGGGGGCTGGACCCCATGATCTCACGAGGTCCCTTCCAGCCCTAAACTGTGAATTGGTGAATCTAGTCTTGCACAGAGACATAGTACCAAATGGGCCATAAAGTCCAGTCCCCGGCATGCACAGGAAACCATTTATCCAAGAAATCCAAAACAAGCCATTGACTCCAAATCCTCATGTAATGTAGTCATGACACGTCTTATGAAAGAAGCAAAAGCACCCTACAATGGGCCATGGAAGACCTGGAGACTACTAGTTCTCTGCTGCACACAGAATGCCACAGCTCCTACTGAATTCAGTGACTTGTCTTCAGCTACGGTATGTCATCCAGAAAACCATGCAGTTTTCATTTAAAAGACTTCAAGTCACAGGCTGCCCCTACTAGTAGAGATGATACTCTCTTTACTTTTTCCTATCATCAGAGAATTAGCTTAAGGAAGGTGGTGGGGATCCAATTTTAAAAGGAAGTAATTTCGATGAGCACAATGTTTTCCAATGGCCAGTCAAAATTTACCAATCGTGCCCCTTCCTTTATATGACAGAAAGAAGAGCATCTGAGAGAGAGAGAGTGACGCTTGTTTATATACTTCATTGGCCATACAGCATGAAGGGCACCAAGCTAGAACTAGGCCTATACCTGTGATATGATCCTCTTATACTTAGTCTGAAAAGTAGGCACAGCTGTGGTTATTATCTTAAGTGGAAGACTGTTTGTTAATGTTTGATAACCATCCTCTATGGAAAAGTACAAGTTTCAGTGGGTAAATTAATATACATGCATATTTCATGTGACATTTAAGATAACTGTAACTTAAAGGCTATTATTTCATTAGTAGACAAGAACACTCATAAGTTAGGAAATGGCAGATTTACAGTTGTTCCCATCTCTTGTATGTACTTCCCATGGTCCATAAGCACAATATCTTTAATTACATAATCACATACTATTTTCCCCCTATAGTTCCTTTCCTGTCTCAGCACACAGGATGGATAATGCCCATTCATTGAGCAGCTATTTGAAAAGGGAAAAACAAAACAAAACTAAAGATAATAACTTCCTGTGTAAAATGCTAACATAACAGAACCTGAGCTCCATCAAGACATATTGGCAAGCCATAGCAGAAACCCTGGGGACTTGTAAATCTTCCATTCCATTGGTTTATACTATTATATTTCTAGTATTTTAAATAAGTTCTGCGAGGCAGGGTTAAGGTCCTCAAAGGTCCTCCCCTAAGTTATTACTTGGCTCGGCTAATTCTGTTTTAAGCCCCTGGCTATGACTGTGATATGGACACAAAATAAAAATATGTGTAACTATTATGGATTACAGTGTTCATTACCATTTACCTTATGGCATAACAAAGCTAAACTTACACAAGTACACACACGGATATATAAAGAAATATAGTATGACTGCAGCTATGTTAGCCTTTGCTCAGGGATATACTGAGCTAGAACCGTGCCATCAAAATAAGAACCAATATAAATCACTGTCTAGAAAAAGAGAACATCTGTGAATTTAAGGACATCTGCTTTGGTAAAATACCTTAAATCCAATCAGACAGGAACAACTGGTAAGCAAGGTCCAGAAAGTAATAATAGTATGTTTAGATGACAATGGCTATAGGCAGAGTTGCAAGTAATGGATTATGCCTTTGGCTTTGTGCTTCCAGCTTTGTCAGAATGAAGTGAAATAAAATTTACTCACAGTGTATGAAATCTTTAACACATTCATTTTTGTCAATATGGACAGAGAAATAAAACAGTGAAAAAGATAAACTACAGGATTCATGTAAAGAACATAGACTGGCTAAAAAGAGAATTCCTGCTAAAGTTTTATGTGTGTAGTGTTAACATATTAAAAGACAGGAGCATGTGCTAACAGAGGCCAGGAGCAGACATTACACTTTTACCAGTAAAAGTGACTGGAAACTGATCTAGACCCATAACAGAACAGAAGTTTGGAGCACACAGACTGATATAAAAATGTCAAAATCCAGTGTAAGTCTTAGACTGCATTTTGCCATTTTTATACCAGTCTATTTGCCCTCACCCCACCCCCAGCGACTGGTGGGGGGGTCCCCCATGGCCAATCTTGCTGACTGGGGGGGAAGGGGTTCCCCCAGAGCCAATTTCACTCACCAGCTTGTGGAAGTGGCCGCAGTGCTCCCACACCCTGGCCGGCACTTACAGGCGGGGCACCAGCGCTCCCACTGTCCCCCCTGCCCATTGCCTAAGTGGGGAGCGCAGCCTGTCAAGAGGTGCACCAGCGCTCTCAGGGAGTCTCAGGGGACCTAAGACCAGGGGTGTCACCACCTCCCTTCCCCACAAAGGCAAATGTGTGTTCTGTTCACTACCAATCTAAACTACACCACTTACAAAAAACCACGTAACTTAGATCTGCCTCAAGCTTTTTGAATTTCTATACATAGAAATAATTTGCAGCTCTATAGCATCTTTTATTCAACAAGCTCAATTGCTTAAAATATATTAATTAACCTTATGCATGCACACTTACCTGGCTAGTGACAGTTTTGTGCGTGTCTACACATATCAATATTGTTCTGGTTTCAGTTTACAAATGTCAAAACAATGTTAACAGTCTTTTAAGTGAGCAGGTAGTTCTTAATTCATTTCCCAACCAACATACTTCCATGTCATAACATTGACCTGAACAAGAGCATCAGTGGAAAAGATAAGAATATGTAGACAGTGGGCACTGTCCGTTCATCCTTACCATGCCCTGGAAGAGGCATGTGGTCATTGGAACCAACCAGATTCTTGACCTCTCTCATAAATGAAAGATTTCCTTTATCCTAAACATAACCTAAAATGATTTGGTGTATTGCTAATTACAAACTGTATGAGATTTCCATACTTTTATTTGAAAATATTCTT